CGAGAAGTTGGCCGCGTTGGCGGGCTCCGAGGTCGACCAGGCCGCCTGGGTGGCGCCCCCCGCGGTCTCGCCGCGGAGCTTGAAGAGCTGCTTGCTGCCCGTGTAGCTCGCGTTGCGGCCGATCGAGTCCCCGCCGTAGAAGTACACGGCCTTGTTCTCCTCGTCGGACCAGAGCACGGGCGCGTTGTTGCTGGGCAGCAGGGTCCGTGAGATCTCGGTCATGACGAGGCTGCTGTTGGTCCACGACGAGTCGAGGGGGATGGAGAGGGTGACGTTGACTGCGATGGCGGGTGGTTAGTCTATGATGGCGGATAGCGAGGAAGTTTCATGAGATGGCGACCCACCTCCGTTCGCTGAGTGCGAGCCGTTGAAGCGGCGCGACACGGAGCCGCCGTCCACGATGAGCTGATTCCCGAGCTTGACGGCTGCGGCAATGGGCACAGGTGTTAGCAGGCAGTAACATAAAAAAGACTGGATTCAAGTAGACCATTGGCCTTGGTATGCGCAAACAAAACATCAGATTCATGACGCACTCGCAGGGTGCCACCGCCGGATGAAGATGTCTGCACCGGGATTGCTTGCTTGTTCCCGCCTAGCCACCGACTGCTGCTGCTGCGGCGAAGTACGAGCCTGCCCGTCATCGTTGCCGCTGCTGCTGCTGTGGAGAGCGGATACGGGGCAGGCCAGCAGGACAGCCCATGAGACTCGCATGATGGCGACACGGGTCCTTCTTGGTGGTCGCTTTCCGTAGTAGGGTGTGGATGTGATATCGAGGACCGCGAAGCGCCCCCCCAGAGAAGTTGTGGATGAGAGGATGAGGAAGAGCGTGCGTGTGGCAGGCAGCCCGATAGAAGGCATGCTGCCAGGGCGGACCAGGGTTCACCAGTGATGTCAGGTAACAGCGCAGGCACAGCCGACTCGGTGGCCGATCAGCGGCGGGAGACGGGGGGCGGTGCCGGTGCGGTAGGGCTTCAGACAGGCAGGATCCCTGCCCCCTTGCACTGTCGTGCATACCTTAACGGACGTAGAGCCCACCCTTCAACGGGCTCGGCATGCTGACAGGACGGGGCGAAGGCTTGGAATAGGTATGGGGGCCGAAGATGATTCCAGTAAGTATATCCTTACATGGGGGTTCCCATGGGGCAGAGCTTTGAGCCAGATTCACGCCGATAACAAGGGGTCAGCAGTCCGACGAAACGCGATCAACAGTCCAGATTGTTGCCCTGGCCCAGCCTGCTGCTGCGGCCGCAAGAGCGTTGCAGTCGCGTGGTCGGCCCTCGTGTGTCTCCGTCTTTCAGCGAGGCTCATCTCGCGGAAGATCTTGGCGCGCAGAATCGGCCGCAAATAGGCGCCATGTCCGCAGCGGAGCATTGCCCTGTTCTGCCTGCTAAGACCCGCGGCTAATGCAGAGCCCTCCACCCCTGCCCCTGGCTTGCTCTGAGCTGTGCATCCATGCCGCAGCCAATGGGATCGAGGTCTAAGCGGGAGTGACGGCATGGCAGGAGGAGCAAGGTACGCACGACTGCCAAGTCTGGTAAAGACACGTACCTCCAGGGTCGGGCCTGTTCATGTTACCTAAAGCGCGGAGAGGGACAGGACGGGGAAGATCGACCAGAGGGTTCGGCTGCGAACTATTCGTGCGCGACCGGTGGTTGGGGGCTGAACGAGCTCCGCTGACAAAGTGCCCTCCTTGCTCTCGAAAGTGGCCCGGCCGGCGCATGTGTCCAGGGGCAGGGATCTACACGGGAGATCCCTTGATCCTCGGATCCTGATAGGCTCGACGGGACCGAGGAGAGCCAAGAAATGACAAGGCAAGCGGTGTCCAGATGCCGCTGACCACTGTCCGGAAGCTTGTCAGCAATCAACCTGTTGTGGAAAGAGTTGCGTGAATGCGAAAGTCTGCCGGCGTGACTTGTCACAACGGTGGGCAGGACGCCCGCGAGAGCAGAGGTACATTTCACAAGGCGATGAGTCGTGGCACGGTGGTGGTACGATATTAGATTGATCTGGGTCGGCCTGAACAGCCAGTCTAGTCCAATGTAACCTACTACACACGTGCAATGGCACCCTGCGTATCGGAAGCTCGAGCAATTCACGCGGCTCATTGCTTCTCTTCCACCTTATGCCTCCTCCACTCGACCCCCTTCCTCATCACGACCCACAGCGCCGGCGGCCCCGCGACACCACTCAGCACTGCGAGGATCGTGAACGCCCAGCCCGTGCCGACGCCGTTAATCATCGGCTGGATCGCCGCGCTCGCGGCCGCGCCGACGAGGCACCGCGTGAAGTTGTTGGCCGCCGTGGCCGCGCCCGCGTCCCCGGGGTTCATGTCCACGATGACCACGCTGATGCTGTTGGTGAACCCGACCAGCCCTACCCCGGCGAGGAACAGCAGCACGCAGGGGACCGCGATGTGCGTCCGCGCCTCCAGGACCCAGCCCCAGACCAGGACCACGCACGTGGCCAGGCACAGCGCGGGGATCCCCACCTGCAGCCTCGCCGTCTCGAGCGGGAAGGTGCTCAGGTCGAGCTGCTTCTTCTTCTCGTAGGGCAGACCCCGGAGCGCGCAGTGGCGCTTGAAGTTCCAATCCTGCAGGCGGCCCGTGATCTGCGCGCCGACGAGCGTCCCGACGCCCAGGGGCAGGTAGATGAGGCCGGTCTGGAGGTCGTTGAGGTGGTAGGTGGCTGGGTTGTTGAACTGCGCGGGGATGGACGTCATGAGGCAGTAGAAGTTGGCAAAGACAAGGCTGCTGTAGGTCAGGAGCAGGGCCATGCTTGGCTGCACGAGCAGGAGGAGTGCGCGGAAGGCGTTGAACTTGCGCTTCGTGACTGTGGTGGGTTTCTGGGCGGGTGCTGCTGCCGGAGACGATGACGGTGTTGTCGTCGTCATATGCAGCTCGCCGTTGTCGGGCTCTGGCCTTGGCTGCTGGCTGGCTGCCTGCTCTCTCCGGGTTGTCCTTCTCCTCGACATCAACTCCCTCCCGACCTGCCACAGCGACCTGTGCACGAGATGCTTCGGCCGGACTGACCCGTCCCCCACGATCCCGCGGCACGTCTCGGGCATCGACAGCACATGCGCGACCGCGACAACTCCGCACAGTATCGTCAGGATCCAGAACGTCCACCTCCAGCCAAGATACTCCGCCAGCGCGCCGCCCAGCACGGGCCCCAGTGCGGGTGCCAGCATGATGGGTAGGGACATGTAGCTCACGTACCGCCCGCGCTCGGCGGACGTCACGATGTCCGCGACGACGGCCTGCGCGAGGGCCACGGTGGTGCTGGACCCGGCCGACTGCAGCATCCGCAGGATGAGCAGGGCGGTGTAGTTGGGCGCCAGCGCGCAGCCGATGTTGGCGGCGATGTAGACAGTGAAGCAGAACATGTAGGCGGGTCGCCGGCCGGAGGAGTCGGCGAAGGCGCCGACGAACATTGGCGTGAGGCCTTGGAATATCTGCGGGCATTTCGACCGAGTTAGAGATTGGGCAGTGAGAAAGAGATGGAGAGGGGCCGGGGTGACAAGAAAAAGTAGCGAGACTGACCATGTAAGTCGTGACTGTCAAGTTGATCTGCGATATCGACACGTTCAGATCCCTAGCGATAGTCGGGAGCGCTGGCAGGTACACTTGTGCGGTAAGTGGTGAAAAGACAGCACCTGCGGCGGCAGCGATGACGATGCCGCGCTTCTGGTTGTGGGTGAAGACTGAAAAGGCATTTTGCTGGGTCTCGACCTTGCGGAGCGGTTCGGGCCCTGCCTCGAGGTCTGTTTGTGGTGGGTTGGCGACCTCTCGATCTTGTTCTGGATTCCGGTCATCCCTTGAACTCGAATCTGAGGAGTTAGGCCTGTGGACGATGTCGGTGGTCGTCTCAGTGCTGTTGACGTCGGTGTCGTATTGTGGTGCCGAGCCAGACTGTGGCGGATGGCCTTGTGCTGCCATCGTGTAGTCTCCTGCCGTTTCCCGTAATGGACAAAAACCAATGGTGCCAAGAGTGCTTCTATCTACACCTGGAAGCAGGAGTGGCGTCCTTAAAAAGGAATAGGCAGGTCGAGGGATGAAGGTCTGAGATCATCTCGGAACCGAGATCGGCTGAGAACGCCCCACTCAAAATGTCGTCCGCCCGGAATGGGTTCGGGAATAACGGCGGTCGGCTTTGTCGGATTGGACGCTTTCCATCGAATGAGACGAAGAATCGGGCTGCAGGATGATACTCAAAAAACACGGTGATTATTTGTCAAATCAATGTCCTAGATTGGTCTTCTGATTGCTGAGGCATAATGATCCGGAGCTCATACATTCTATTTGCTCTCTTGCATAACCGTTACTGTTACGCACGTACGACCATAATCCCAGGACACTGATGGAACCGCGGTTTGGGTATGCTGAGCAGTCTGTATTTCATAATCTCTCCAAACTCTCGATAGTGGGCAGGAACCGGTGTGACAGTCCGAAGTCCTGCGACATCGGCTACATATACATGTCTTTGTCCTAGCCGTACCTACCGAAGCCCTCTGGAAGAAGGTGACTCGCACGCCATAGATCTCTGCTGCTACTACCTGCACAAGAGGAAGGGTAGTGGCGGTGATGCTAGCCGTTCGTCTTCGTGGTCGTCAAAAGCCGCGAGATTCCCATGTCTGGGCCACACCATCGTCGATAGCCAGTCTTGTCCTTCTGCGACGGGCGTGTGGTCAGACAGCGCCGCCACGACCTCTTCTTCTAACTTGTTCCTGCAGCTCTCAGCAACAGAACAGACTGTCGTCATCATTGTCGTGTGCGCCCACAGGATAGCTAGACATTTGGGGCACAAAGTGGCGAAGAGGGAGGAAGATGACGCGCTTCATTGACAGTGTGCGACTCACGACTTTTCCTACCTGTCTAGGTCGAACTTCCCAACATTTTACCAGTTTGCTCCGGACGATAAGGTAGTCTAGAACTAAGATCAAAAAGTCTGGGGTGTTTGCCATGCTGAAGACTTATCGCGCAACACTCTGGGAGCCAAAAAGATGCTCAGTGAGAGGCTTGAACTCTCGGCCTTCGCATTACATGGTATTGTACTCACGATGTGAGCTGGCAATATTAGTACGACGCTCTGACCAACTGAGCTAACCGAGCGATGATTATCCGGCTGTCGTAGAGCGCGCCGGTCGGTGATTGGTCCGTAGATGAAAGACGGTTCTTCGATATTGACGACTATGCGGACGCTGGGCTCGAAATATCCCGTGACAGTAGTGCTTACTGTTACGGGGAGAGTGGGACCAAGGGGGCTTGCCTCGAAAGCACGTTTTTCGCTTGATCCAAAGTCAGGTTCCATACAGGGGAGCTGTCCTCACGAATTCGGGGCTATGGCCACAAATAATATAACGCTCCCACCGCTACAATGTCTCGATCCCAGGGGTATGGTGGACAGCATAAGAAAGAATACACCCGTCAGCAAATTCAAGTGTGGGCTCGGCCGGCGTTCAACTCCATGCCGATACACTAGATTAGCATCGATGGTGGGCCACTGGCAGGAGCTTTAAAATGTGTACCGGGGCCAGAATGTCATCCCATTGGTTGTCCCTAACATCAGACTACGCCCGATACAACTCGCCGTGTAGATCCACGAATGATTCATAATGACCCGAGTTTCCTGGCCTGCACTCGGCAAATTGTCTATACAGCGCGAAGTCAAGGCTATCATACAAATAGGCCAACAAACTCGGCATTCTCTGCGATTGTTGATTTCCAGAATCAATAGGCCAGAAAGTGACCACTTACAGCGACCATGATAGCCGACGCCCTCTCCAGTCCACAGGCATGGTCTGCCGTGGCCGTCGTCGTGGCCGCAACTCTCTTGCTGCGCCCACAGAAAGAGCCATTCCCCACCATCAACAAGTACTCCGGTGACCTTCTCAACAAGAAGGCGTATGCCGAAGCCCAGAACAACGCGCGCGGTCTCGTCAGGCAGGGGCTAGAGAAGCACAACAACCAGCCGTTCGCCATCGCCATCCCGCACGGGCTCAAGATCGTCCTGCCGGCCTCGCTCGGTAGCTGGGTCAAGTCCAAGCGGGAGCTCGACCACGTGCAGCTCGTCAGGGACGACTTCTTCTCCGGCCTGCCGGGCTTCGAGTCGCAGACGGTGCTGCACAGCCCGGACGAGTTCGTCAAGCGCATGATCACGACGAAGCTGGGCCAGAACGACAGCACGACGGCCACGATGAACGCCAGCATGGCGCGTGCTTTTGATGACCTCTGGGGTGGCGATGATGCCACGAGCTGGCACGCGATCGACTGGCAGAAGGACACCATGGGCATCATCGCGCGCGCGGCGTCTTCGGTCTTTGTCGGACCCGAACTGGCGGAGGATCCAGAGTGGTCGGAGCTGGTCCAAAGCTACGTCACGTCGTATTTCATGGCATGCGGAGACTTGCACAAGTGGCCCGTATGGTCGAGAAGTCTTGTGCACTGGTTCTTGCCCAATGCATCGGCGTGTCGGAAGGAACTGCATCGAGCCCGCGCGGTCATTGACCGAGTTGTCAGAGAGAGGCAGGAGGCGGTCGACAGAGCTAATGCTGAGGGTAGCCAGCCGCCCGAATACAACGATGCCCTCGCATGGAGCAAGGCTGCTCCCGACAGCAGCATGCACCCTGCGGACATTCAGCTCGCCCTTGCCATGGCCGCTCTCTTCACCACGACCGAGTTGTTCCGGCAGGTCCTTATCGATGTGTCTCGGCATCCTGAGATAATGGAACCTTTGCGGGACGAGGTCAGACAGCAGATCTCGGCGCATGGCACCTCGGTGGCTGCCACAAGCAACATGGTTCTGCTTGACAGTGTCTTGAAAGAGTCGCAGCGGCTCAGTGCTGGCCCAGGTAAGACTCTCACAATTGAAGAAATTGAGTTTAGTTCCGCTTTGCTGCACCTTGGCATCTCGACGAAGAATCCAAGGGCAACTACTAATTCTCGACTGTTGTAGTGGTCACGGAGCGCGCCGCCCTCAAGGACGTGGCCCTCCCCGACGGCAGGGTCATCCCGCGCGGCGCCCACATCATGGTCGACTCGACGCAGCTGTGGGACTCCAGGGTCTACCCGGACGCGAGCAAGTTTGACGGTCACCGCTTCCTGCGCATGCGCGAGGCCGGCGACAAGACGAGCGGGTTCGTGCAGACGAGCCCAGAGTTCCTCGTCTTCGGCGCCGGCAGGCACATCTGCCCGGGCCGCTTCTTCGCGAGCAACGAGCTCAAGCTCGCCATGGCCCACGCGCTGCTCAAGTACGACATCATGATGGACGAGGAGTGCAGTGCGGAGCCGATGATGAACGGCTTCTTCGCTATCGTGAACCCAATGGTGCAGCTGCGGGTCAGAAGAAGGACGGAGAAGGTGGGGTTTCTGTCTTGATGCTACCAGTCAATAGGTTCCCAGTAGAAGATCAATGGTTTATGATAGAGTACCCTATAGACAGTCGTCAAATCGTCCTTTCTGACCTCAAGGCGCCGTGCTACGGACGTCTACGTTTTTCGGTGGCAGTGCTCCAAGCCAAGGGTGCCTCAGCATATCTTCCGGCATCGGCCGCTCCGCGGGATCAATCTTCATCATGGTCTTCATGAAGTCAGCAAAGCCCGCCCGAACATCGTCTGGGAGTCTCGGCAAGAAAGTCTCCGAGCACAGCCCAGGACGACCAAATGGTGCCGCATCCCGAACTCGCCCGTCCTCGTCGAACACTTTGGCAACGAACTCTTGATCCCCTTTTTCCAGGAGAGCCTTCGGGAAAGGCCCGAATAGGTCGACGATCTCCGCGATGTGCTCCTCACGCGCGTAGTCACCCTTGGGGGGTGCGCTGCCGCTGAACAGCCGGATGGCGCGGAACACTTCGTAGATGACCGCACCCAGGTTCCAGAAATCCGTATTGACGTCCCAGACCGCCCCGATGAGGACCTCCGGTGAGCGCAGGGCGACTGGCTGGATCACCGCTTTTCGGAGGCCGGGTTCCGAGTCTGCCCAGCGCGACACGCCCCAATCGCCGAGCGCCACGTCGAATAAGTCAAAGTTTGCCTCATCGCCCGGCGCGAAGTAGTACCGGAACAGAGGAGCCGATGGAATGACCGTGTACGTGCTCTCGTTGCGATCTTGCGCAGGAGGTGGATGGTCGCGCATGTACGCCGACTCGATCTGCGAGTGGTCGCGGAACTTGACATAGATGTTGTCCGGCTTGAGGTCTGAGACTCATGGGTCAGCTACGGGCATTGGGGCGAGATTCAACTGCGCAAGGTGAGGGCAAGTACCAGTATGGATGACATTGAAGTCGTGTGCGTAGTCTAGCGCGAGCAGGAGATGCGTGGTGAAGCGGCGCATGATGATGTTCGGGACCTCGCACTCATCGAACCAGGCGCCGAAACCCGCGAGTGTCTCGCCCATGAGCTCAAACACGAGGCACACGTGAGTGCCGTGTGGTCCTTGATGTTCGAAGCTATCCAGCATGTGGCAGATGTAGTTGTAGCCTATCTGCTGCTGGTTGCCATCTCGTAGGTGGGCCATGATCTCCCGTTCCAGGATGGGGTGCTTGGAGCTGTACGCGTTTGCTTTCAGGATCTTCAGAGCCCGGAAGACGGTCTGGCCATTAGATCTGGGATTCTACGATTAGCTTCATCCTGACGCGCGTGCGTACCTATGCAATGGAGAACGAACCGAGGCATCACATCCTTCACTAGCCAGACAGTTGAGTACACTCCATAACCAATCTTGTTGATGATCTGATATCTCTCGTTGTAGACATCACCAACATAGACGGGGTGATAGCCGCCGGCCTGGTAATTGCTGTCGTCCTCTTCTTGGACAGTTGTCTTTGCCGGGCTCGGCGAATGTTGCAGGCCACTGAGAGATGAGGGATCGGCTTGTGACACTTTGACAGTAGTCTTGTTGGCTTGTCCTTTGGTGTCTTCGGCCATGTCGTAGCTGGTTGTCAGATAGTACTAGCAAGAGTGAGTTCTATGCCCGAGCTACAGTAATGATAATAGCTTGCAGCTGGGAATGACGGCAGTGTAGGTTAAGATTTTTCCTGATCCCTGGAAGCTCCATTCCAATAAGCGCGCGCGTAAAGCAAACATGACGAACGGGACAGAAATAGAACACCCAGTAGCAAAGTAGGACAAATCACGCAGGATGGTTTTCATGTAACTAACACTGCTTGCACAGCAGCAAATGGCAAAAACACGAAGCCCACCATAGGTAGGGTACGGCAGCAGAGGATGTGGGGTCAAAAAGATGATCTCGCTGGGGATCGAACCCAGAATCTCCTGATTGCAGGAATGGACTGAGTAAACTCAGACCGTCGTAGTCAGACGCCTTGCCATTGGGCCACGAGACCGGCTTTCGATGGAAAACAATCGCGCTTATAAAATACTATGTTTTCTGGTTTTTGGGCTCAGTTCTTTGACCACGCTCCCGCTCCCTTTCCACAATTTCTTCATTCCGCCCCAGGCTGAGTTCACACAACACACACACATGTTCAAACACAGACGCATGTGTACATGCCAAATCAGTCCCAGTAACGTGGAGAGGCCATCTCGCCCTTCCAACTTGGGTCTCTCCCATTTGTCACGTTTGACCTAATGCAGATCGGACCAGATGATCTGATGCGCGGAGTGAACATATGGCTTCACATCTGACTCAAGCCACTTCCAGGTTTAGGCAGACGCGGCGCATCTCTCAACTTCAGATAACACAACAAACTATGCAGGCGAACATGAGTGCTGCACTAGCTTCGCCTCATATCAGAGTGACTGGACTCGACCACCTCCCTCTTCAATTACTCTTGTACATCGCCAGGCACTTATCAGACGGTGACGCCTTCGCCCTGTGCCGCACGAACCACAGCCTGAACGCTGTCCTGACCAACTGTCTCTACAGACGCTATGTCCAGTACTCAAGCATCGCGCATCGTCCACAGCCAAGAACAGTAGGCGCATGTCGGTGCTGGCACATGCTACCATGTCAGACAATGCCGGCCTTGTCCACGACCTGCCCACATCCATCGGCAAGAGTGCGGCTCCGATGTCGCCGTCAACCACCGGCCAGCTGGCCTAGAAGACAGCCTTGTATACGAGGAGCACTGCCCTGCTGTCGCTAGACAACTG